GCCCCTCCCTGTCCCCAGCGTCACTAGCGCATTCTCTCGTTTTTGTTTTTTTTGTTGAAAGCAAAATCAGTAACTTGTATTCCGAAACAGACAACGACAATACCTGACAAGCTGCCTCCTTGATGAAGCCAGTTTAGCTCATAATCGGTGGCCTTACATTTGGTGTGCTGAAACGAATGATAATACACATGTGTTAACAAATAGCATTTATTTACGGAGTTTGATTCGTATTTTGTTTAAATAATATGAAACATAAAAAGAACTCTTCAAATGTTTAGGAAAATAAGCATAATTAAATTTCTGGTATCACTTAAGTTGTCTGGAGCTAATTAATAATTGATTGTTTGTTTCTGTTTCTTTAAACTGTTAGTTAATTAAACTTTTAAAAAAGAATTCAATTATTAGTATATCTGGATCACAGGGTTATAATGACAAAATCAATTATTCGAAATAAATACTTGCACAAATTAAGTTTTAGTTTTAACTTTGTTTGTGTTTTTTCTTCAACGTTTTCAAATATTTCGGTGTCTTCTGAAGTCTGACTAAAATTTTACTCACCTTTTTTACTTTAAAACTTAACTTTTTTTTAAAGTAACACATAATGTCGCCTAAAACATTTATATTTAAATAACATGCAATTTTCAGACAGGCTTTTACATAATCTTCTAATTCAACAATTAGACAAATACAATCCTTATCAAATAATATATTGAATATGTATCTAGTGTACAGTATTACACAAAACAATACAATCTATATATGAAATAACTCAGAAACAAAATAGAATGTCAAACAAATAATTGTAGAGAAAATGGAATGGAAATCTCTGTAACGATATAAAAAATTGTTCGTTATGATATAAAAATTATTTCTAGAAAAGTCATTAAAACAGCGATTGAAGAGTAAATTTTTATTCAGAATGTCATTACCAAAAGTACAATATTAACCTGTCTTAAATACAAAGAAATATTAAATATTTATACTTGATAATTCTATCAATGCACAAACAAGCATTTGCTTCAACACAAACCTGACATTTTAAGTTTAATTAGAGTAGTGTAAATTTACATATTTTAGAATAAATACCTACACATTTAGATTACAAGAGAATTTGTTTTAAATTGATATGTTCAAATTTTATTATAGAACTCGTTACATATTTCAATATACATTCCATTTTAATGAATTATGCAACAATAATAACCAGAGCAATGTAATAAAATAAGCAAGAGTGTAATTTTGCAATGTAGGTAAGATGATTACTCTATTGAAACAAAAATACATTTCAACTCTGAAAGACAACACAGTTGTACGAAATTACTTTAAATACTTGAATTTCCAGATTTGTTGTCAGGTTTTGTAAATAATAACTATTGTTTCTTCATTAATGCTCAGATGATTGTATAGTAGTCATTATAAAACATAATCCAACAGAAATTGATTTAAATTGATTTAACTTGTGCATTGATAATCATGTTGCGTGTACTCAGTAAAATGATATATTAAAATATTCTAATTCATGCAAATATGATGGATGCAGTCGATGGGGAACTATAAAGGGTTCACCTTGCGGTAGAATATTTTATATTTTAATTTGTTTATATTGGCATTAGTATAAAAATCCTACGTTTTCCAATCTCAATGTCTCGGAAAAATTTTGATGGCAAAAAAACAAACATGAAATTCTCAGAATATTTTTTCGCGTTTGCGAAATTTCTTTTTAATGACTGATCTTCGTGCAAAATAGTTACGAACAATTTTAAAGGACATAAATTATGTACAAATTTGTTTATAAATGATTTTTCTTAACCAATTAGTAAAAGAGCTACGACGTTTTAAAACGTCACTAAATGTTTCACTTTTTCTTAAAAAGTATGTTATGATGTTGAGAAATTTCATGAAGTTGAATCTGCGACATCGATATAAAAATATGGAAGGATTAAGGAAATGTGTGTATTTGGCTCGCTCTGTCCTCCTTTTACAATAGTTAATATCGTGATGCTAATAAGTGGCGGTCGCAGTGCCCCCTTTCCAATCTAGCCCTCTTCCATGACATCGTGTCATTCACTTAATCAATTAATTATACGTATTAACATAACGAAATAATAATAATAATAATAATAATAATAATAATAATAATAATAATAATAATAATAATAATAGTAATAATAATAACGTGAAGATGAAGAAGACGTTTATTTTAGTCCATTGAAATGCTTTTCTTTGATTGAAGTAAATCATATTAGTTGTCAAAATGTACAGACCTGCTACCGCTCCATAAGAAGGTTCAACCTCAATAAGTATTAAAAACAGCTATTTATTTATGACTTTAGGAACCTAAAATTACTAATTAGAGAGCCCATTAATAATACGGAGCAATTTCAGAAAAAAAATGTGAAATTTTAAAACAATGTAACACGCTTACCATTTGTTCCAGAAAAATAATTTAAGAGCAATTTGTAGACACTTTTACGATATTTAAAACTGTACAGACCTATTTTGGATGAAGATCGGTCATTACAAAGTTATTACGACAAAACCAACATAATCCCTAAAATTTCGTGTTTTTGTTTGATCGAAACTTTTTCCGAAGAATTTCGAGGTGGAAATATTCTAATTTTCTTACTATTACCAATATAAACATATAAACAAAATTAAAAATAAAATCCTCTACCTCATATTTTGCAAAGCAAAATGACTTATCGAATACACTACATGGACAAGATTCTGTTTCCTATGTACTTAAAATATTATTTTATTTCACAGTATTTCAAACAATAGAAGAATAGAAGAGATGGATGTCCATTGGTTTCTAATTCCAAATAATGTGTACACTACTTAATTTTAGGAATATGAAGTAGAAGATATTGACAGGCATACCAAAGATATGTATACACTAAATTACTGTTTTGATAACCACCATTGTAGATAACAATGGACATAGAATAAGAATATTTTATGATTACTATATTATTGTGCCATATACATGTATATTTCAATTCCTATTTGTACGAAATGTCCACCCAAATAGAATTTTTCCGTGTGAACGGCTTTTTATTTACCTAATTTTCCTGTCCTATGAAAAATACTTACGGATCAAAGACCGCTGCAAGAAATCTGCTAAACCCCTTACTGTGAATGGTAATCGGATGACAAGAGAAAAATTGTGCAAGTGGGCAATGTTACCTATTGCTTCCACATTTACTTCGAATGTTAGATAAACACGAAGAAACGTCTGATCTGTCTATCTCTAGAATTCCATACAATCAGTAGCTTATTCCATTTGTAGCAATTAAGAACAGCGACGAAATAAAATCTAAAAATTAATTTGCTTAAAAAATGATACTTTTAGTTTAGAAGCCAAAAATAAAGATATGTTTAATAGTGCGATAATAAGAGATCTGATTTTATGAGAAACCACATTATAAAATTGAGTTAAAACAATAGATACATCAAAACACTACTTCTAATTTTGTTAAAAAAAACTTTACTTCATTTGGAGTAAAGAAACAAAAGTTTCCCTAAAGGACAATCCCGACATTTCTACTAGGGCTGATAAGCAAAGAAAACTGTAGCAAACAAACTTCACAATAATGGATAGGATGTTGACTGATGACAGAACTTGTATTACTATTGAGAGGAATCTAATTAATGGATGCACTAGGGACTTGACACAATTATTTAATAGATAATTATCTCAAATTTATTGAGAAGAAAGGCCACCAACTATTGTCTATGTCAGGTCTTGTGGCCAAAGCCTATTGGTTGCCTAAAGTGCCCTTTCCGTCTAATAATACTGGTACATTCTCTCCTGAATGTGTGTGTGTGTGTGCTTGATATTGCTAGTGTTGATGACCTTGTGTATATACTACCAGGGATAACAAACTATAACTATTGGACACATTCGACAGTTTCCATAGCAACATTATGTTGATTCATGAGGAAAATAGACTGAACATTTCATATGTTACCTTAACTAGAAATAAACAGGAAGTTGCATTTAACTAGTTCCGGAAGACCACTAGTACAGAGTAATTCTTTTTCTTAAAATACTCCAGATTCAGAACAGAACGCTTTTATTTTCATTATTGTTGATAGGGGGATAATACGTTGTAGCTGACGTAAAAAGTCCTGCTATTACCTTTGGGTATAATTCTTTGGAACGATTCATATCCTGTTGGTTTTATAGAAATACATAAACGGATGAATAAGGTTAACTCCTTCCTTACCCCTTTACCACCACCTGACTAGTATGAATTCTCGGCTATCCGGGAGACGCCGCGTGAGGCCACGTCACTGCCCTGAGGAAGCCTGCGACATGTCAGGCGAAACGTCGGCACCCCAGCCAACGACGCGGCGTCTCCCAGAGAGCTGAGAATTCATGGATTCGAGCCGCGGAAGCTTAGATATACACCTGACTAGTATAACGTGGAATCACATCCTTACATCACATTACCCTTCCATTGTTCTACTGAAAAGAAAATTAGGATAATCTTGAACAACATCAATTTACGGGTTGTGAGTTAAACAGGGTTTTGTTTAAACTGAATTAATTTATTAACAAATGTCAAGACATTACCTCCTTTGAACTTAGACATAATGTCACTTATATCGCTTGTAAATAACCGAGATGCAATTCTATTTTTGTAGGAACTACAAAGCGAGCGTCAAAAACTAGAATACAAGAACACAAAAACAACATAAAAATGTCTGCTGACAAACATAACACGGTTGCGAATAATAGAATTAATAAAAAACATCATATAGTCTGGGATATGTTAAAATTTTACAAATTGAAAGCAACTGTTATAAAAATATGTAAAAAGAAAGGTTAAATATTTTCAAATCTAAAAACACCAAGACTTTAAAGACACAAGAAACACCGTACCTCAAAGTGTAGAACTGCCATACTGGCTCGACAGAATATTATTTACTCATCTTTCCAATTCTTTATAAATGGAGCATGGGGTTCCACAGAGTTTGATATTAACGCTGTCCTCTTTCTTTTTATACGATACTAGTGGAACGCGTCTCTCCGCCTCTCTCCCTCTCCCTCTCCCTCTCCCTCTCTGTGTCTCTGTCTCTCTCTTTACAAATAATGTATGGAGCGAATACTTTGTGTTGATCCCATAACTTAAATAAAGTATGACATTTGATCACTGGAGTAACATTTGGTTTTTGTTCCACAAACAATTCTTTATATAGAGTTTTCGTGAAAAACCATTCACAAATTTTCATTCGAGTAACAAATAAATCAAAAAATGTTGCCTCTAATAACACCACTCTGCTGTTGATGGAAATCCGCCAATTGATTCATTAAGATTTTCTGGCCTAAAGATCTTCACTTACTCGTACCAACTTTTTAAGCTAGTACAGTCACCATTTTCTTCGCGTTACTTAAAAATGGTCATGTAAATATTAGCAACAAGCGGGACTGTGGTTGACATTGAATGTCATTCATAAGCAGAAGAAAGTTACGAGGTTGATGACATTGCGTCAGATAATTTGAATGTCAGACGGAAGTTTAGGCATTTTTTTAAATACTAAAATGAATTTATCGTCGCGCGGCAATGAAATATTTAACGACAAAGTTTCAGGAAACGCGCATTGGAAGCCTTGGAGTAAAAGTCGTCCACATAACACGGTGTCCCAGCGCTCCACACGCTAGCGTTGGGGTATCTATCGCCTTGTTAGCATGTTATACAGCTTTCCCCTCCTAGTGATACAGAACTTGCGATTAATAAATATTGCATTCTGTAATATATCACACGCCCTACAGAAACCGGACAGAATAATTTGAGCGAAACTTGAAGGTATTTTGCACGTAAATTGTTATGCGTTAGATAAAATTAATGAAATCAGTAGCACGGTACTCCTCCTTTGTCGAAGCAGCTTTGACGCTGACGTAACGTCAGTGTTTCAAAAATGTCGAAACCCTGCATTGTTGAAGTCAGACAACATGAACATTCTTAAGTATGATGCCAATTTAAAGGATATTTTATAAACAACAAAACATATTATTAATTAAGGGTGCAACAAACACAATACGATAATCAAACAATTATTTATGAAATTGCAAATTAATCTTAAAGTATTACAAATGTATGTTGTAATCGATTAATTCCATAAATGTCAAGGAACTTAATAGATGATTCGATTCAGAATTTCGATTCAGAATTTCATGTCTACGAACGATGAAAAAGTGATAGCAAAATATAGGTAATATGACACATTTTCTGAGTGTCCAAAATAATTACTGTAGCAATCTTTCCTTTTTCGCTAGTATACTTTAATCTTTGCTAGACAAAAATGCATCGGTCTGATCATTTACTAAGTTACGTAAACTAGTGAGGCTACAACAGCACATACTTTCTTTCATAATTCGTAACGGCTACACAATAATTATTATAGTAGTGCACCTTATATTTTATTTCATACCATATGAGCTATCACTTGAAAAAATAAAACCATGTAACTCAAAATTAAGAGAAAACTACTAATATTATGAGAAAGATGAACGTTAGGAAATTTACAGATCTAATGTCTCTTCCAATGGCGGCTTGTGCTTAAGTTACACAACTTCGAAATAATCTTAAAATATATATCACATATCTTTGACCCCGATGAATAATCTGATAAGTCATGAATGCTTAAATTTTACAGGAGAGCCAAAATAATAAATTTCTGCTGATGTAAATAAGATATTAATGATTTCAAACGAAACCTACACACAAATACTTTGATTTGAATATCACCATCGTTTCAATATCATTAATTCCTGATTTACTTGAGTTAAAATATGTTTTTACTCTCCTGTAAAATTTAAGCATTCATAACGTATCGGCTTATTCACCGGGTTCAAAAATATTGGGAATGCGTCTTTTCCAATTAATATAATACAATAAAAGAGAAACTGCTGCTGTACGACATAATATTGAAATCAAAGATCGCCCGTTTAGTGCTCTCTTTGCGTCTGGGAGGGGAATATCAGTTTTCTAATTTCATCTGAATGCTACTGTAAACTACGTGTGTTGGTGAAAGTACAGGTTCAATCAACTTTTGACTGTACTGAATGCACAATTTAAGATGTTTGGTGAATTTATTTTGTGAGATTTATGTACAGTAAATCCTACCTTAGGCGTAACCTTAATAACGAAGAAGCCTGCCTTTGACGGAAAAAAATCTCAGAACGGACTACTTTCCAATGCAAAGTATACTAGATAAGCCGGAAACTTGCCTAACACCAAAACGGAAAGGTTTTTTAGGACGACAGTATTAAAAATTCTATATAAGACAAAAGAAATATGGTTTTAAAATTAAATATTGACTACTAAGTGTGGCGACATCGTGCTACGAGACACTCAGAGCTGTGCTCGTCCATTTGCTTTCTCAGCTAACCTCGTCCAAACATCGTATTTTCCACGTTACTCGTGCAAAAGCCACAGGCTTTTAATTGCACTGACATTCACTAGCCCTTGTAAAGTAAGGACAAATGCAAAGAGCGATCCTTCCACAGTTATTTGAATGTATGCTTTGTGTTCTGTGATTCTAAAATTTTACTGTTGTTCAGTTCGACGAATTGCAGTTTTGTGTTGATCATGCTTTTATGAAGTCCGGCGGTAAATTAAAAACGTTATCTCTTATTTTAGAAAATAAAACTAATTGAAGAACGCAAACAAAGCAACACTTCTGTCAAGGATTAGATAAACACATTTGAAGTTGGGGAAACTCAAGTGAATGACACCTTAAAAACGAAGACAAAATCGGTTAAAAGGAGAGTTAGAGAGCGGTTAAAAGGATGGTTTAGAGATGGTTGTCACAATATTCACGAGGTCCTAGGCAAAGAACCGAAGTCTAAATCAACTGATGAATTCATCTGTTCCCACAAATATTGAAGAAAATATTTCTTTTACATTTTATGGAGTTCTTTGTTTCTGTGGACATCGTGTTGCGTTTCTGTATGTCATTTTCTTTGTCTCTCCAGGCACGTGTACTTTTCTTTCAAATGAAGTTTTGAGATACAAAAAACTACTCATAAAATCTATTC